GATTTGCGCGACTGTGTAGAAAGCACAGATATTATTGCAACTTATGCAATAATGTCAACTTCCAAAAGACTTAAGAAAGTATCTACAGATTTCATCTAAGCTCTTCTACGATACTAAGGATGAGCTCACTTCTTAGTTAAGTGTTTTATCTTGGTTAATCAACATTCTATTCACTTATGCCACTCTTAATGTTCTTAATGCCTATTAATATTAAGTTGAACTCCTCTTCATATTGTTGGAGTCTTACTTAACAACCATCTTCCAACACTTTGAAAGGATGAGAGAGAGCGAGAAAAAGAAAAGAGAAAAAAAAAAGATTTTATGTTTTTCTACTTAACGATTAAATTAAACTTATCAAATTATTTCACTTGGAGGTGTATGATTAAATATTTACTCTATTGCAAAGATTTATATAAGTCCATCAAAATTAAAAATAAACCTTTTACTATTGACGTTGAGGAATAGAAAGTTCAACGTAGAAAAGTTATTGCCTACATTAGAAGATGGATGGATATAAATTTGCATGAGCATATTTATGAATAAACCAGAGCTGATATTATTGGACAAAGGTTAGAAAATCTTTTTACGAAAAAGACATTAAGAAATAGAATTTCTCTCCTCATAAGAATTATAAATTTGAAGTATAAAGATAACGGTAATATTGTTGAGCATATAAGTATAAAGATATGGTTAAAGACAATTTACTAAATGAAGATGTCAGAAGGAAAAAAATATGATGAATCTTCTTATGGTGCATTTGTTACTGAAAAATAAGAAAGACGTGGAAAAAGTCATAAAGAAATCTACATGGTTATAGAGGAAGATCCAAGTCTAGAAGAGATATCAAATGTTTCCACTGTAATAAGCCAGGTCATATAAAGAAAGAGCGTAAGTTTTGGAAGCGAAAACAAAATAAAAGGAAGAAGAATGAGAAAGAGACTAATACAGGTGATATCATTATTGTTTGTGATGATGATTGTGTCAGTCTTACAGCTTTTGATAGTAACTGGGTAATTGACTCTAGTGCTTCATTTCATGTTACTTCTTATAGTGATTTTTTCAGATCTTACACTGTTGGTGATTTTGGTAATGTCAGAATAAGAAACAATAGTACATTGTGGGTATTGGAGATATTTGCTTGAAGACTAGTATTGGGAACAAATTTATACTCAAATATGTCTGATATGTTCCATATATTCGTCTTAACTTGATATCTATAGGCAAACTTGATGATGAGGGATTTACATATTATTTTGGTGAAAGCAAATGAAAACTCACTAAAGGTTCTCTAATTATGGTGAGAGGAAAGAAGCTTAACTCTTTTTATGTCATGGAAGCTAAGTTACACAAAGGAGAGATTAATGCATTTCATAAGGATGAAAGTATAGATCTTTGGCATAAGAGGCTTGGTCATATCAGCGAGAAAGGACTTCAAACTCTTGTTGGAAAGCAGTTCTTACCAGAGTTGCAAGGTACATCTCTTAAATCTTGTGATCATTGCTTAGTTGAAAAAACACAAAGAGTTGTCTTTCATACATATCCATCATTTAGAAAATCATATATTATTGATTTGATTCATATTGATGTCTATACCATGTAAACTAGAACTCTTGGAGGTGCTCTTTATTTTGTTACTTTCATTGATGACCATTTTAGAAAAATGTGGGCTTTTGTTTTGAAATCTACAGACCAAGTACTCGATGTTTTCAAAGAGTTTCATGTGAATGCTGAAAAAGAAACTGACAAAAAGCTAAAGTATATTCGAGCAGATAATGATGGTGAGTACAAAGGTCCTTTTAAAAATTATTGCAGGTTCTATGGTATCAGGCTTGAGAAAACAATTCATAAAACTTCTCGTTAGAACGGTATGACAGAAAGGATGAACATAACCATTAAAGAAAGGATTAAGTATATGCTTTCTCACGCCAAGTTAATGAAGTCATTTTGGAGGAGGCTATGAGAACTACAGTTGACTTGATAAATCATTCTCCATCAGTTTCTCTGAAAGGTGATGTTCTAGAGGGAGTATGGAAAGGAAAAGATATATCTTATAATCACTTGAGAGTCTTTGGGTGTATAGCATTTGTTCATATTCCCAAAGATAAGAGGTCCAAAATTTGATAATAAGGCAAAAGCATGTATCTTCTTAAGATATGGTCATGAAGAGTTTGAGTACAGATTATGGGATCCAATGAACAATAAGATTATTAGAAGTAGAGATATTGTGTTTCTTAAAAACCAATTGTTTGATAATGGTGATAATGTTGAAAAGCTAAAAATCTCTGTTTATATTCCTTGGAGTTTGGGTTCAGTTCCTTCATCTGAAGTTCATGATGATCATAGGAGAAATGAACAAGAAGATTATGGTGAGAATGCTAGTGATGATACTCCTACAGTTAATGATGTTGAACCAATTGAACAAGCACTTCCATCACTAGTTGAGATTCCATTGAGAAGATCCACTAGAGAGCGACAACCATCTACCAGATATCCTCCACATGAGTATGTTATGCTTATTGACGGGAGAGAGTCAGAAACTTACCAAGAAGCTATTCTACATGAGTATAAAAATGAGTGGGTTAAAGTCATGTAAGAAGAGATAAAATTCTTACTTGAGAATTACACCTATGATTTAGTAAAGTTGCCTAAAGAGAAGAAACCTCTTAAGAATAAATGAGTTCACAAATTGAAGTATGAAAATAATAGCTTACAACAAAGATAGAAGGCACGACTAGTTATGAAAGGATTCAGTTATAAGAAAGGTATTAACTTTGAAGAAATATTTTCTCCTGTAGTGAAAATATCATATATCCGAGTTGTTCTTTGGTTAGCCGCTTAAATTTAGAAGTTGAGCAACTTGATGTGAAAACAATATTTCTTCATGGTGACTTAGAAGAAGAAATTTACATTGAGCAACTAGAATGTTTCAAAGTCAAGGGAAAAGAAAATCTTATATGTAAGCTTAGAAAAAGCTTATATGGATATAAATAGGTACTGGTACAAGAAGTTTGATTCATTTATGATGAGCTAAGGGTATAATAGAACCATTTCTAATTATTATGTGTTTATAAAGAAATTTTTAGATGATGATTTTATTATTCTACTACTATATGTTGATAATATGCTGATTGTTGGTCATGATGCTGGTAAAATTGAAAAGCTTAAAAGAGAGCAAAATAAGTCTTTTGCCATGAAAGGCTTGGGATCGATAAAACAAATATTTTGCATGAAGATTCTTTGTGATAGGAAGAAAATGAAGGTTTGGCTATCTCAGGAGACTTACATTGAAAATGTTCTTGAAAGATTTAACATGAGTAAAGCCAAAGCAGTTTGTTCTCCACTTGTAGATCATTTCAAGCTTAGTTCGAAACAATGTCCTACAAGTGAGAAAGAAAAAGAAGAAATATCCATAGTACCATACTCATCTGTAGTAGACAGTTTGATGTATGCTATGGTTTATACTAGGCCAAATATAGCTCATGCAGTTGGAGTTGTTAATCGACTTCTCTCTAATCTTGGTAAGGAACATTGGGCAGCAATAAAATAGATATTAAGATATCTAAGAGGTACTTCCAAATTATGTTTATGTTTTAGCAGTAATGAACCTGTGCTAGAATGGTATATAAATACAGACATGACAGGTGATACTGATTCTAGGAAATCTACTTTGAGATTCTTGATGACATTTATAGGGGGGAGCAGTCTCTTGACAATTTAAGTTACAGAATTGTGTGGCTCTATCAACCACAGAGGCAAAATATATAGTAATTACTGAAGCTTGCAAGGAAACTTTATGGATGAAAAAGTTTCTACAGGAATTTGGCTTGAAATAGGAAGGATATACTGTTTACTGTGATAGTCAGAGTGTCATTCATCTCTCCAAGAATTCAACATATCATTCCAGATCCAAGCATATTGATATGAGACATCATTAGATTCGTAATGTGCTTGAGATTAAAGAATTATAGTTAAAAAATGTGCATACCAATGAGAATAGATTTGATAAAGTCTTACTTAAGGAGAAGCTTGAAACATGTAGGTGAATAGCGGGTTTAGTACAGCACACCATATAAGCTGGAGGGGAAAAATTATTAGGTCCAGCCCATATGTGAGCTTGGATAGGACAATTGGGCCTTTTTAGCCTAAATTAATAATTAAAAAAAAAAAGAACAAGGCAAGAGAGAAGAGAGAGAAAAAAAAGGATTTTAAGTTTTTCTACTTGACGATCAGTGGTCAAACATTGTCAGTTTTGACTACAGTTTACCTTCTTTGAAGTACTTTCCTACTATATCAATTTTGAGACCTAAAATTTTCTTTTTATGAAATCCATCGGTGGTGATGATAAATTAATGTTGAGCTAAGATTTATATTCTTGATATTATTATGATCCTCTAATTATTTTAGATAAGATTTATTATAAACTTATTACTATTGATAGTGAAAGTTTAAAGATCACATGATTTTTTTCGTATTAAATTTTTATGTTAAAATTTTAATTTTATTTTAATGAGAAACATATTTTGATACACAAAAGGGGAAAAAGAATATTCTATTTTCACATGTTTTTCCCGACCCACGTCGCTCCTTCTCGGGCCTCCAAAGAAGAAGTGCGTTCCCCAGTCACTGTTGACGCCTTCGGTTATTGTATAGTAGTTGGGCTTTCCGGCAGTGACGCTGAGGCTCTGCACCGGGAAGAGGGTGTTGGTGGCGTCCACCACTTGTAGGTTACGAGTGTAAGCAGCTCTGCGGTAGCCTTCCTCCGGGAAGTATCCGCTGCCCATCTGGGTGGCGGTGTGGACGCCGGAAGGGCCGTTGTTGACGATCTCGCCGCCGAACTGCACCGAGGTTGCGTTCTTCGCGAGGTGGCTGAACAAGGACGACGGCCAGTAGCCGACCACGGTGGAGTCCCACTCCAGCCACCAGTTCCCATCCTTGTGATCCTGTTGCACCATCAAAGCATACACGATTTTCTTCTTAATAGCGCTTAAGCCGAAACCCTCATGCATTTCGTCTATAGCGAACGAATAAACACTGATTTGATCGTCGAAGGGGGGTTCATGTGACGAGTCAATATAATTCAATTACCTTCCAAACCAGTAGCTTCATTTCGGATTGCTGGCCATCGTAAGTCGATGTTGGATTGATGGAACCTCCGACAACGATATCGTTGTTGGTTTGGACGAAACCAGCGCACTCTAGGTCATAGCAACCCGTGTTCTGATACGCATCGGCCTACGATATTCGAGGATATAAGGAATCTCTAATTCACTTGGAGGGCAAAGAGGAGGAGGGGAGGCCATACATACCGTCCAGTAAATGAAGAATCTTGGATAGCTCTTTCCGTATAGAACCTGAGAAAAATTATATGTTTCAAATAAATAAAAGTACGAGTGTAACAAAAATGGATCGAAGAAGACACACTACGAGTGTAACAATCACCCTATATATATCATCTACTTTTTTTTTAGTGGTGTCAATTCATTTAAATATGTTTATACATAGAAGTGGTTTGGCGGAAATAGTTACCTGCCACCCGGCTTCGATGGTGTTGAGGTTGGTGGCGTAAGTGCCAGAAGTTAGCCAAAACTGTGATAAGCTGTACTCGCCGTTGTTGGCCACCGCCGGCGCCCACACGTTGTAGGTGGCTTCTGCACCGTAGTACAAGTTTTCATCTTCCACCGTCCCAATTGCATACTGCCACACATATAGTATATGAATAATAAACACCACAAATATATATATATATATATATATATATATATATATATATATATATATATATATATATATATATATATATATATATATATGTGTTTTGGATTCCTCAAAGATTCCTCCTAATATTAGTTTTTGATGAACGACCAATACACCAACCATTCTAACCTCATGATTATTGAAGGGACTTTCTCCTACACCCTCTACAAGCTTCCTCACTCGCAGAGCCTCTTCTTCCGTGGTTCTTCTAATCGGAACTGTTCCATGTGGGCACGTCTCCCCTGAGGCTCTCCACAACTGGGTTATGCCACCGGCCATGGACTTGGCCTTGCGGTCTTTGGGTCTCTTCGGCGGCTCCTGCGTAAACGTTTGAGAAGCAGGAAGAGTTGATGAAACCCTAAGGCGCGTGCATGTGATTACTGTTTACGTGCTTGAATATGCGTGTCGGTTACCAAGGGTTTCAGTCCTTTGAGCTTGGGATGATCGAATGCCGGTTGGAGATGAGAGGGAACGCAGTCGATGATGTCGCCATCTGGACTCTGTGAGAACAGCGGAAACAGGCTTTACTATGCACCCTACTAAAGAAGAAGAAGAAGAAGAAGAAAAAGAAGACGAAGGACCTGAGATTTAAGTACCTGCACTGTCTTCAGAGAAGGTTTGTTCGACTGCTTTGGGCTGTTTGCTGCTGAAGCCGGGAGACAGGTAGCAGCGGCAGCAAGCAATAGAAGCACGAGAGAGACGATGGCATGGATGGAAAGAGAGGGCCTGCATCCGTTAGAAGCCATGACAACTCTCGGATTGCTTGTCTTCCTCCTGTGGCCATGTTCTTATATAAAAACCTGATCGCCGAGGCTGCGTGCTGTCTCTCTCTTTCTCTCTCGACATGCTCTCCACGGCAGATTGACCATTTCTACTTGGACCAAGACAACGCCAATTCCTGATGTGAAAAGACTATAGAAGTCGTAATTTATGCAGCGTACGTGATCAGCTCTCTCTCCTAATACTTTCTTCCCCTTCGTAGACGTATGGCCTTCGTTAGCATCTCCAATTACATTAAGTGGACGTGAAAGGATAAGACGTTGAATAAATTGTCAACAAACAATACTCGATGTTATCGCCATCAAAACCGTTAGGTTTAGCGCAAGTTGTTTGGGCCAACTCAGCTACTAATTAATTCAACCGGCAAAAAGGAAGAAAAGAAACATCTTAGCGTTGTCGTGGAAGGAAGATGTCACGACCGTCAATGATAATTTCAGTCAACGGTGGGAACTTCCCTTTCCCAACAACTGGTCAGCAAACTTCTCGGAATAATCATCTTTTCCTGTGTCGTGTAAAGATCTTAGTGCTTTCGTTAAAATTTCGTAGCAACTCTCTCCTGATTAATTTAAGCTCGTTATTTCTGAATTAGTGAACGAAGAATTGATTCAAATATGTCTTATGAGCTCGTAGAGGAAACAGGATTCCGACTTTAACAGTATCGAGATGCGAGGAATTGGAATTCAACATGCCAAAGAACTCAAAAGAACATCGCAGAGGCGCGTATTTTCCCAGCAACGCATAAACTTGCGATGGTAAAAAGACAATCCCTTGCACGA